AGGCCAAATTTTGTTGGCGTAGGCTAGTCTTCCCATATTCTCCATCGCCTCTGCCAAAAACTTTGACCTGAATCAGTTTACTACGCGATGAAAACATACCAATCACGACGTGCGCCTCAGTAGCAAAATAAAGAATTACCTCTGTACTCTAGTGAAACTAGTGGGGCGAGATACAACATGCAATAAATACACTAATCATATAATATACTAATAATAAAAATACTATCATAACTCAAGTCGCAGTTCACAGACGGCGCATTCAAGCCTCTATCGTAATGTGGTCATTCTGAAGAACAATAATGCAGCGCCTCACTGATTATAGTGGCTAAAGAGCATTTACGCCCTTCTTGACCATAAGTACCTGTGAAGGAACAATACGAAGGCAAAGTAATCATCTGAAACGTCAATCTGTGGTTCGACATATCAGATGCATGTTTTAGATAGACTATTTTATGGCAGAGTAATACGACTACGCCATAAACACACACATATGACACGACTAAACGCACACGAAGCGTTGATATATCATTTCACAGTCAGGAGGCATTTTCACGCTTTAGACGACACTGCAAATTCCCACAATTTTTGAGGGGCTTGGGGAGGAATTTATTCAGATCATGACTCCATGGTATTTCAGTAGTTGCACTGTGTTAAAAACCGCATCGTTTGCATCCAATGAACTAATGTAGTAATAAGGTATAGTAACAAGCGTAATTCAATCTCACCAATTAAAAGGCGGTACAACACTACCCTTACGCCTAATAAAGGACTTAATCTGGTATTGGTCTTATGATATCTTAGAATCTGCAGAAAATTAATACACCTAGCATCGCTTGTTGGTTAAGGCAATGCCATCTGATCACCGTTGCTGAGCCATCAACTGATCTTCATTGTATGCTATACCAACCACATCAACAATTGTGTTCCAATGCGGGAATATGCAATTATGCATAAACATATGAAAAGAACATGGTTAATCTGCCGTTTTCTCCATAAAGTTAAAGCCATATCTGCTATAGGGAGGGGACAATGATAGGACTGAATGTGGATTTATGGAGACAGCTTGATGGAAGGTTATACTATCCTAATCGCTACGGATCCAGCTGTGGATAACCTTCTACTGTGACGCAGTCGTAAACATAATAATAGAAGGTATCATGTTCGTAACCAGATCAGCGGAGGAGAAAGACTTCAATTAAAATAATAAACCATGTCCGCTTATTAAAAACTGAAGCATAAGGTATGCAACTCATCGTTTAGCCAGTAGACAAATAGACCTGTCAACTTTGTACGTCGGTTATTGCAGGTTGTTCATGTGGAGATGGAGAAACTGACTGGCAAATATTCATATTACTGACCTTCGATTACTCTGATCCTACAGGTTTCACACCTCCATGCATGCTATTATTGCGGCAACGTCGCATAATCGACGAGGTGTGTTCATCCTAAGCTGTTTGCTTGACACAGAATGCAAAATATTGAAAACTAATTCAAGACCTAATTTTACAGTGTACCGAACCGCTCCTTTGTTTTTTACCTGCACAAGGTGAGGGGACATTTAAGCAAACCACGGCTCCGTCGTATTTGAGTATCTGCAGAGCCACCTCGCGTTCATCACAGATGTTTCAATACATGGTACTGCTCAAGTGCTACCGCACAGAAATCATAAGCTATCATACGCCCAAGAATCTCAAAAAACGAATAAACGTTCCAACAGCAGATTTTACGAAACACTGCACCGTGCATCGCTCCTGGTTGCCTAGGTCTGTTCATGCTTATACAGGTGAACCAAACGCAAAATGAATGTTTGCGCAACGTAAAATAATATTGCAGGTCTTTAAGAAAATTTGCACACAATTAACTGCACTTTTAGCATGAAGTACTATTCTAAACTAAATTTTAATCAACAACGAACTTTCCTCGAAGATAAAAACCTAAACATCGGTAGACGTTAATAACGCCCCTAAATCCATTAGATTATGTTGAGCTAAATAAACTGCACTCTACCGCGTTTACTGATTTAATATAAATAATGAGGTTAAATCAAAATAACGGGCGAAATCATACCAGAACGTTCATCAGTCTTCTCGGTGTAGATTTTATGGGAAGCCCGTCGTGGCAAGAAGAACCACCTTTTATGAACATTCGACCACTGTGCTGATTCATGAATCATGTACCCTAAATTTAATATTGTATTATTTAAGGCACATTTAAATGAACAATGATTAAGAGAGTGCTCGTATGCAACACAGCTTAATTGAGATATAGCCAATCAGAAGTCGTTTTTCAGATTTTTGAATTGTGATCGACACCCAATGGGAACTATCAAACATTAACACATCAGTTTATACTGTTAATGTGCGTGAAGGCGTGTTACGAACCTAGAAACTGACAACCAACAAGGTGAAAAATATAGCTAGGTGACCCCTTTCGTCTATAGGGTCATGGCTATGCCATTCTGGCCAATCCATCTACTATCTATAAGAACTATTGCCTCGTCTAACTGCTTTAGTGTAGTCAGCCACATCAGAAGGAGGCCTTGAATGTGTCAGGACAAGCCTCATTCAGGGAAATGATAACATAAATGTTAAAGTTAAAAAAAAATTTATCCTGATTTGCCATATCATAACAATACAAAAAACGCGAAACAAGCAATTCATCAAACGTTCTCCATGTCTATTTTTCTTGTTCATGAATGATCGTAAACATAAGAGTAGCTTTTACAACATCCACTGGAAATTAATAACAATGAAGGTCAATCGTTCCGCGCGGGATTGTAACACTTGCCATAAAGACATAACGAAATCAGTCAACCCATCAGCTACCACAGCCTGGTTAGCCGACCCATTTCGCGGTTCACGACTTAATTGGTTATTTCACCTCTTGACGTTCGTCGTTGTCCGCTACTTCCAGCGACAGATACGCCGAGTTGTAGCTTGTGGAAATAAATGTCAACGGACAAGAACCATACAATGTTTGGCAACAATTCTCATCGTTCATGGAATACTGCGCGGAAATAGAACAGGAATGTGCCATACGACGTTTCTATCGTGCTTCTACAGCTCAGTTTACCAAATGAGGATGGTATGTAAAAAATTTTGGTTCATATCCTCGAAAAATTAGGGATGCTATAGACGATTAATGATGGTCATCCTTCAGCACTACTTGTTCGTTGTAGAACTACTACTGCACCCTGATGAGATCGATACATCGCCGATCGAAACGCTGAAAAACTGAATAAGATTTATTCACTTGCTAATACCGCGAACCACAGAAGTGGAAAAGACTGCTCTCACTTATGGTTTGTTATTATGTTGTTGTGGTAACTACAGAAGTACGTGATTCATGACTGTGGTTTTAATTCGTGAATTTAAAACGAATTCGATAAGCCAAAGGCCAGCAGGCAACAGGTTTCTTGCCTCAGGGTAATGCATACGTTTAATTCTTAACAAACTAGTTAAAAACGAATCAATCGTAACAGTGGAAATAAATTCACAAACTCTGTCTTGGGCCAAATGTTCACCATATCGACTGAGAAAATCATTACATAAATAAATTTTACTCATAAACTAACCTGGATAAGTGATACCAAATGCCTTGCGCAGCTTTATGTACTGACGCTTCCAGTTCACATGACGAACAAATCCATAGTGCGAAATGATCTTTACCCACATAGGGTCGTCGTTCATGTATTCGCCGGTAGTTGTTGTCCACTCTTTACCTGTGTCAGTAAAAAACTCATTTACACATTAGGAGAACGAATATACACTTAGACATTAGAGGAATGAAACAACATACGATAATTAACTACTACCATTCTCAAAATTCACACGGCACAATCGCATTGACTTTTAACTGCGAGTAGTCCAGCGGGCCATTTAAGCACGCTAGGGCTCCAACGTGTTGTAGGGATAATAAATTAGTCAGTCTTTTCGAAACTATGGCTTCACGACGTATCAGTTGAAGGTAATAGTGAGCAGTTTGCTACTCATGTTGTTTGAGTACGTGCTAATCGATTTATTCAGAGTAATTTTTGACTGTTGAATATAAACCTTGCATAATTAGTTCGGTGTTCAAGTTCTAAGCTAAAATACAGCTGATTACAGCTCACTGAACATAAGCTGTTTACTTTAGCCAGTGAGCTTCTTCGTATGAGAAGTGAAACATGGGAAGCGTCGGCCAGTATACAAGGTGGAGGAATAAGGTAAAGGCAGATATGCTATTTTTCGAGAAGAACGATTTCTTTCTGCAATGGAGTAGTTAGTGCCATATAGCAAAAATGCTGAAAAGGCGCAAATACAACAACCATCACAGACCAGAAATGTTCTGCTTACGCAGACAGCGCAACATGATTATTACATAAGCACGCACAGTTCATTACCATGAACTTGCTTGTTCAACCACAGTTCAATGAATATGACGGGAGACACATCCTAAGAGACACAAACCTC